TTTCTACAAGCTTTACATGATTCTGATACGGCAGAGGCTTCAGGTGGTATTAGAGGACACGTTAACGCAAACACAGTATGGGTTTAGGCCATCTAGAAGTACCTCGCATGCACTGTTTTTGACTAGGCGTATGCAAGATATCGCAGAACAACAGGGTTCAAATCTTATTATAACTTTTCTTGACTGGAAACAAGCTTTCGATAAGGTACAACACGACAAACTTTACATAGCGTTAAACAGGCTTGGAATTCACGACCATTTCATTCAAGTCATCAAAAACTGCTACCGTAACCCCTGTTTCTTCGTTGAAGACGAATTTGGTAAGTCGTTGCCCAAACGCCAAAGGTCAGGTATACGTCAAGGATGTCCTCTATCGCCTTACTTATTTGTTCTGGTCATGAACGTGATTGATAATGATGTTAATTACCACCTAGACAGACGCACTTTAGGAACCAGAAAGCCAGGTATCAGCTTCGATCGAATTTACTATGCCGATGATACTGTACTGCTAGCCACCAATACTTATTCTGCCAATAGAATTCTCTGGGCTGTTGAACGGGTTTCACTGCAGTTTGGCCTTAAATTGAACAGAGGCAAGTGTTCCTATATCGCTATGAATGGGAACAATAATCTCAGATTCGCAGATGGGACCAAACTTTGTAGATGCACTGAAACAACATACTTAGGACATCATATCACACGAAGTATGAACATGAGACAGGAAATCGGATACAGAATGCAGCAGACGATGGCTGCTTGGACCAAATTAAAACCTTTTTGGAAAGCATCCAATTACACTGTTGGTTGGAGACTACGCGTTTATCAGGCTGTCATTCAAAACAAACTGATTTATGGTCTTGAAACCGTGCACTTGACACAGGCAATGCTAAACAAGATTAACGCGTTTCAACTTCGGGGGCTTAGATCTATATTAAATCTAGAGCCCACATTTGTTAACAGAAGAAACACCAACGAATTTGTACTCAGAATGGCTTCCGAAAAAGCTGGGCACGAAGTGAAACTTTTCTCCGAACTTCTTTTGGACAAACGAGTTAAACTATCTGGACACCTTTTGAGAGCAACAGACTCGGACCCAATGAGACAAGTAGTTTATTCTCCTCAATCAGCAAACGCATATCCGATTGGTAAAAGGAGGGTAGGAGCGCCTAGGCAACAATGGCGCCACTTCACCCATAAACATATTTGGAACAAACTTACGAACGGATGGACGGACTATTTAAACACGGACGAGCAAAACAGGCGAATCCACCAAATGGCTCTCGCACGACAATTTTAAGCTGTCGCAGTGCCGGCCCACGGACGCTTTAGCGACCATGGCCGGGAAAAAAAAAACATCCTGATCTAGACCCTACTGATCTAGGGCTGGTCTTTGGCATCCTGAAATCATCATGATCATCATCATCATCATCATCATCACCATCATCATCGCCATCATCATCGCCCAGTTTTTGGCAATGTGATGATTGACCGGTGGCTCAGTAATTTTCCCAACCGGGGCCTGTCAACGGCTAGGATTCGGCATGGCTCACCCGAGGAATCTTGGCGATCGTTACGTACTTGATGACACCTTTCCTCCAAGCTGCATGTTGCGGCATAAAGGATTTCCGGTGGTCTTGTTTGAGGCATTCAGCATTCATATCATTTCCTTTTTTAGATGGTGAAACCTCAAATTGACTTGATGTTGGTGGAAGACCCTGAGGCGGTGCTATTTTTTCCCTCTTGGCTTCGCTGATTCAATTTGTCTCTCGGCAAATGACCAGAGAAGCCCTGGGAAAAGGGCAACGATATCCCAGAACCAAGGCTCGTTTGACTGCATTTTTTGGTACCGAGTGGGCGTGAAGAATCATATTGTAGCCCAGCAAAAAAAATACCCCTAGCACCCAATGGGTTGAGAAATAAACTGTGGCAAACAGGAGCCAAACAGGACACACACACACAAACACACACAGACAGACAGACAGACTGACAGACAGACGGACGGACGGACAGACAGACATACATACATACATACATACATAATCATACATACGTACATACACACACACATACATACATACATACATAGATAGATAGATAGATATATATATATATATACGCGGTCTATCAACCACCTCCTAACTGCCTTGCAGCTCCTAAGTAGGTTTGCTTCATGGCATTTGAAACCGGGCCTCTTTTGTGATCCCCGGCCCCCGGTTTCCCACGTTAGCTTCCCATACCACATCTAGTACACCCCAGAGGTGATGCTGGACACCAATTTTTATGGTGATGTCCAAGTGCCAAAACATGCCAAAACCAGATTTCAGGACCTTAGTTTATGTCGTGTCCGTTTTTGGGGACGCAAACCTTCCCAAGATTTATCTATGGATCTATTTCAGATCTAAGTACAGACAGTACATGGATGTCGATTTAAGCCCAACCATATTTTTGCAACTGTCCACGTACCCGAATGTTCCATGTATGGAATATCAACATTGACATCCTGAATGACCCAGATGTAGTTAAATATTGCATGAACTATAGGCAAATTGACCCCATTAACATCTATGTCTATGATATAGATATATCTGCCATAAACCAAGGTTAACCCAGCTAGTTAACCCGACCAGGAACTGACTTAGCTATCTAGGGCCTTAGAACCCTATTGCAAGGCACCACCTTGCAAGTGCCACGAAAAAGAATCCCATCCTTATTTGAAATTCGATTGAATCGGCTATATATCCGGGTTCTTTTCCCATAGGTTCACAATGTTTCACAGTCAATCACCAATTTTATCGAATCGAATATTCTGAGATATTCTGATAATTCTTCACATTCCCCATTTTTCATTCGAAGGCATTAGCGCAGGAATCGCTTCTCCTAACGCCCAGGCGTTGATGATCTTCGCAATGCGTTTGGATAAGAAGAGAAACCCCGTGCCTTTCGCCCACGGGGTCAAGGGACGGTCAACGGGTCTAACGCTCATCCAGGTTGGTTGATCGACTCCCCCGAAAATGATGGTGTTTGATGTGGTTCACATGAACTGACCTTTATAGAATGAACATGTCCAAAAAGAGGACATTCACAAATCCAATGGGTTTATCGTCATTTTCCATCATTTTCCACAGTAAAAATAAAGCAATGCCCTGCGGGTCCAGCATTGCACTGAGGTTCTCGTGAAGATCAACAGGATCAGAGAAGTCTCCAGCAAAGCCCCTTGGACAGATGGAAACTGCTACATATGGCCGCCTTAATTAGTGTGGAAAATGATGGGAAACTGGGTGATTACCATGGTTAATGATGGTTAATAGTGGCAAATAGTGGTTAATTAACTGGTTGGCGGTTTGGAACATGAATTTTACTTTCCATTATATATTGGGAATGTCATCATCCCAACTGACGAACTCATATTTTTTAGATGGGTGGCTCATCATGTTGAAACCACCAACCAGAAAATGACGATAAAGCCATTGGCTTTGTGCCCTCTTTTTGGACAAGGCTACTTGAAATGATGGTGAGGTATGAAGCCAATCCTTTTCCCGCAGGAAAATCATGAGGCATCGGCCAAGGGCCGCCGTGGCCAAGAGGATACTGTCCTTCTGACTCTACGTCCCAATCCAGCTACTTCTATGTAAAAATTGCATGTTTCTTTACTAGACCAGATGACATTGATATTTGAGTGCGTGTGATATGTAGGAAGTTGTTTTATTTAAAAGAAAAACATATGTCTCCTGTCTCCATATGTATATTCTCCGTGTGTGTTTGGTGCGTGTGCATATGTTCTCGCCACTAGCTTTTCAGAGTAGAAAGCCAGCCACCATTCAACCACTAGGCCCAGGCAGAACGTGCTGCTGTATCTCTCAGCACGGCGCAGCTCAATCAACCGTCAAAGATCACCCCTCCACAACACCAAACCTTATGTTTACAATTTTACATTTGTTTACCATATGACTGTATGATCAATTACGGTACACGTGTGCACAGTTGTGCACATCTATATGACATGTGCACCAATGAGTACCGTAGAATTATATAGTTTCATTCCCAACTTTTTCGATTGTACATGTTGACACGGCACTTACTTCGTACCTTGTTTAGCTTTCATTGCCCCGAAACGACGGTCCGAAACGCCAGCACTTCCCAGTTCAAAGATCACGGCCTCAGGACTACTACGAAGATGACGGGAACGATCCCATGGAAGGTCGGATCTGCGCGTGGTGTGAAAATTGGGGAATCACGATTTCAAATCATAGCAATGGCATGGGTCAAAATGATATATATATAATATGATATTTATATATATATGCATAATAAAGTGTTCCTTCTAAATATTCATAAATATTCGACATGACCCAGCAATCCGCAGCTACTACCGGGGGCTTGGTGTATAGATTCTGACCCATACCCAGCTTCCCTGGGTGGCGCAGCATGTCAGGGATCGTCCGATGTACACTACCCACGGTTTTGGGGTTTACTCATGGTACAGTCAGTTTCTTTCATCCTCAAATCAGTAGACAAACATTAATGCATAATATATGATATGTATATATGTATTGATTTTAATATTTTATATATGTATATGTATCTCTCTCTCTCTGTGTCTCTCTTCATAGGTGTTCCAATTTTATAAAACGGCACCGCAGAACCGCACTGGAATAGTGAAATAGTTGCCTATATTAGACGCAAACCAGATTTTTTGTGGACACACAAAGGGTCCACAAAGGGATTGGCGTAAGACATCAACAAAGGTGGCCTGGCAGCAGCCATAGAGGATCGATCGATGCATTCCATGTCCATTCCCATGGAATCTTTCATTTCATGATTTGAAATATCTGTGCAATATACATATATCACCGTATATCATATTTCTATATATATATATACATATATATATAATATCTATTTGTATATTTATTATATTTGTGTATATATATATATATATATACATTTATACACAAATTTACAAATATGGGATATATTGACACTGATGTGTTTGAGCAGCTTGACAGGCTCAAGCAGAGGCCCTTTTTCAAAAGGCCGATCTCCGTTCTCCGCCACGGTCGGACCTTTTCGCCATGGCCACGCCGCTGACGCTGTCCATTGGCTCGCTAGGAAAGGAACCCTTCGACGTGGACGTTCTCGAAACATACACGGTCAGTGCAGCTCGGCGATGGAAACCGGTCGAAGTTGAATGCTGGGCAGCGGTGGAACATTTTTGAGGAAGATCCGGAAACTTCTAAGTCTATATAAACTATAAGACTTATAAGATTTGTCAGAGTTTATATTAGTGGTGTTCTTACATCGTTTTTAGATTTCAGATGTTCGCTGTGAGGCATGGCCACCTTAGCATCGGATATTCAGATCGCCTAGGAGTTGTGCAGAGTGATCCTGGAGAAATTGGACCTAGATCCGACCAAGCAGCACTTGAAACTGATCTTTGTTGCTTGGCTTTTCGGAATTTGCCATGAATGCTATGGCTCTTCTGGGTGATGGTTGTGAAGGTTGATGGTTTGTCAAATCAAAAAAACGCTCGGATTTCTAGCACAAAATGTTTCTTTCATGGATTTTGAATCAATTTCAAGGTTCGATGATGTTCCATGGTTGATTTCTGAAACAGACAATGAGCCGAAGATGTTGCCAGCTAAAATATCAATTTCCTGGGTGATGGTAAAGTTCGTGGTTTCAAGTTCCCCACAGTCAAGGTCTTCACTAATTGTGTAATTTGTGGATATGATTATTAAACATGGTAAATTCCAATAGCAATGTTTGCCTGCAGGGTGCATTGTGAAACCATATTGTATTTGCTTGATTACATTTGGATTTATATAGTGTTTGTAGTTGAACTCAGATCAGCTCAACCTGTTTGTTGCTTAGAATGCCTTGAACCCTGAACACATGATTGTGTTGTTTTTTCTCGCATAAATCATCGCTTATATCCAGATAGAAGAAAGATATCCCATGTTGGTGAACTTGGATCGAACATGTTGGAGGAACTGTTCCTTGGTTCAATGGCCAATTCAGTTACCTAAAATTGAGGTATTGTACCATATAAGGCCATATTTTCTAGGGATATGCCTTAAGCATTAGGATAGATAGACCTTATGTGTGCCATTTTTGAGGCAAAAAAAAACTGTGGATTTGCCGAAAAAAAAGTTTAGGCCTTACATAGATATGATGGGTACCTCCAAAAAACCGGTACCTGAGTCATGGCCATTGGGGCCATTTAGGGACGTCTCCCAGGATACCACGGTCTTGGAGGATCCAACTCAGACTCTGAGCGCGTACAAGCTGGAGACAGGACACAGAAATTTCCATGCCATGGGGGGTGGTTTCGAGAAAGCAACTGGGGGTAGACTCGGGTAGACCGGGTAGATTCTGCATCTTGAGAGAGAAATGGATTTACATCAACATTTTTTCATGTTTTAATTTAAGATGTTTGTTTACTGATGTTCACTGGACAAACTGGCCAGTGAATGATAGATTCTGATGGATGATGGGAGGAAGAGTTCATGGATGGAGGCATGTAGCTGACCCTTTTCCATTGTTTAGATGATACATTGACCAGGGACCCGGGCGCCCTAGTTTTTACAGTATACATAGACTATCACAGACTAGCTGGCAAGTGAGTGTTCATGCCCAAAATCCGATGTTCCTATAGGTATTGAACTCGTCCCCAAATAGATAAGGGAAGGAACGTCGAACTCGTCCTCAAATAGATAGGGGAAGAAACCCCTATGTTTGCGGTAGGTATCAACATCCTTTTGACCTTGCCGTACTCGTGTGCATTTCAACTTCCCAATGTCAAGCAGTTCATACGCATATATCATCATCATCATCGTCATCATCATCATCATCATCATATATATATATATTTATTTATTTATGTTTATCCTGTATTCAAAGCGCTTTTGGCTTCCCCATTTGTTGGGTGGCTGCGCTGCTCGCCTCTGGCCCTAGGTCAATCTCACCAGTGGAGAGGGCGATGAAGAGAGAGAGAGAGAGAGAGATATATATATATATATATATACTTTTATGTTTATATATATACAGAGCATATTGCATATTTCCTTTCTCGTCCTCAAAGTAGATTTGAATCCTTCCATATTTGATTAATATCCCTTTGCTTCAGAAGGTTCAGAGAGCCTTAGCATTAATTTGAGCGTTCTTCGTCTCATTTCTCGGGCACATTTTGGATTTTTCCCGAAACATCAAGCACCCCAAACAGCCAGGAACAAGTTGCCATTGCGCTTCCCCAATTTCGAACAACTTTGAGCCTTGTGAAATATATACATTGTCCATCTGTCCATCTCCAAGAACCATCCTCCCTTCACCATACCTCCCAGTTTTTTGGGCGACTATCCCAACCCTTGGACTCCTGGGCTATCCTGGGAGATGCGGAGGAAGCAGCCTGCTGCTGTTGCTGGAGAATCCTGGTCCCATCGTCCTTCAGGCGACCATCAACGACCGCACCGCGAGCGATGATCCGCTTCCGGCAGCCAGGTCTAAGGACGGTGGTTTGGAGATGGATCAATAATGATCAAAATGTATCACACAATAGTTCATAGTAATAATAACTGATTAGTATCTCATAAATAGTGATCAATATTGGTCCATAAATGTATCTATAAACTATTTTGGTGATCAATAATGTTCAATAAATAGTTTATTAGTGAATTGGTTCATAATAATAGTTTATTAGTGAATACATAATAACTATATTTGAAATAATATATCCAATACCACTAATAAACTATGTGTTCGTATTGGATCATAGAATCATACCGGGACTGTTGATATTTGGGGATGGCTAGAGAATTGGTGTTCACATATCTAGTTGTGTCTGTCAATGACGCGTGTTGTTGTGTGGTTTTTTTCAATGTTCTTTTGGGGGTCAGTATCTCCAAACAATGGTGTTGATGATCAGGTTGATGTGTCTATAAGATGTTAATATAATATGTGATATGAGTATATCCGGGTTACAATGACCACTGGACCAAGGCGACCCTTGGGGACGGGCTGCATATCTGTGCTCCAAAACGCTCTCGCTTTTTTGGTGCAGCAGATCCACTGGCAAGGCACCCCATAATCCCAAAAATCGACCGTTTGGTTTCAGACATGTCTTATTTCCATCTCCAGCTGAGTTGATTGACCTCGGACAAGCATACCGCATATCCTCTGGTAATTTAAGATAGCTATTGGAAATGGCCATAGAAATAGTTGATTTACCTATTAAACATTGTGATTTTCCAGTTCGCTATGTTAATCTACCAGAGGTTTATCATTACCATCAACCAGTTTTGGGGTCAGGAGCTAGCGCATAGTGTGTCCAGCATCGAAGTCTCGGCCAAATGCTTCAAAGATCAGGACGGGCTGGCGCAGATTGGTGGTTTTGCAGGTTTACCAAATGCGGAAAGGATTTATGGACTGTATACAATAATCCTTTCCCCCTAATACTAAACGTCCCCCCCTATTAATAAACACCTCAGGTAGTCTTTATTATTAGGGGTGTATTTATTATTAAGGAACCCTATCAATAAAATTAAACCCTTAATAATAAAAACTATTTCTTCCGATCTCAAAATCAATTAAATTTCCGTATATAACGCAATTAAAATATTGCCAAAAATTGGATTTCGAAGCGGACCCTAATAATAAAATTAAAACCTTAATAATAAAAACTAATTTGTTCGATTTCAAAATCAATTAAATTTCCTTTTATAACGCAATTAAAATATTGCCAAAAATTGGTTTTCGAAGCGGGCCCTAATAAAAATTAAAAGCCCTAATATAAAAAGACAAATCGGACGGACCCTAATAATAAACACCCCGGGGTTAACTAGTTTTTGCTCACGCCCGAGGTACGGCCCCGTGGAATATGCTTGTTTTTGCCGACGGCGTTATTAATGACCCTTACGTTTTTGCACATTTTCACCTCTCCTCTCAAGTCAACGCCTCAGCTGTTGTGGATCTTGTCACGCATGGGGTGGGGTGTGGGGGTGGCTGGGGGGAGGGGGGGATGGGGGGGGCGTAACAACGTTCCTTGCACTTGCACACATGTTTCATGCTACGCTATGACATCTTCTCTTGCACTTGCAGCCAGGTGTCATGCTACCCTATGACATCTTCTCTTGCACTTGCACCCAGGTTTCATGCTACGCTATGACATCTTCTCTTGCACTTGCAGCCAGGTGTCATGCTACGCTATGGGGGTGGCGGGGCGTAATAACGTTCCTTGCACTTGCAAACATGTTTCATGCTACGCTATGACATCTTCTCTTGCACTTGCAAACATGTTTCATGTTTCATGCAGTGTATAGATAGGAAGTGGCAGTCTCTTTAAAAAAATGTGCCCAAGGAGCTGTGCAACAACCATAAGCTCACTCGAGATGTGAATGGATCCATCCGAGACTACGTGTTTGCGTTTGTTTGTTGCACAAACTGCGGCAACGCAAACACGTTGAACAAGCTGGCTGACTTGGCCTCCACGTGCTGAGACAAAAATGTCCGGTTTTTTTTTTCAAACGCGTGTGTTGCACATGGATGCTAAACATGAGTGGAACTGCGAATTCATAGCCTCAAAGTCATGCAAATACCATCGAAAATGGATGATGGTTTTTCAAAGAGAAAACAGAAACCCTGTAAGGGTTGTCGATTTTATGCATGGCCCATGTTGAGAACTCGCAAAAACAGCGGGACCGTAATTCACGACGTGACCTAGTTTTTAGTATTAGGGGGCAAAACCCACAAATGGTAGCTTTATTTTTAAATTGTTTTCTAAAGGGGATCGGTTAAAAGTCAAATTGGCCAATCTGAAATTTTCCAAAATTTGAGATGGACCCTAGTTTTTAGTATTTGGGGGACGTTTAGTAATAGGGGGAAGGGATTACAATATATATATATATATATTTACATATACATATTGTGATGATGATGATGATGATGATGATGATGATGTTGGTGACAAACTATAGCATAGATCCAATCCATGGGCAAGTCCTGGATAATCCTAGGAAGAACGTTGGGATCCCCGACCTCGGAGGGCCTTTCACGACACCAGGACTGGGGAAATGCCAAGTCAGCATTGTTGCCGGCCTTGGGGAACAAGGGCCACAAGGGGATGATGGTAAGATTGGATGAAGTTTGATTGCAGCGCCATGGTTGCCCATCTCACATGTCTCCAAGAATGCAACTTGGAAGATGTTTTTTCATGCTTGGTGGCCAACCAAGTCTGGATGCTTCGAACATCCCGCCAGTGAACAGCTGAATTGGAACATGTACCTGCCGTCATCAACAAGATCAAGGGGAAGATGCGGAAACATGCTAATATACAATTTTAGCCAGTAACAATGCCATATTCATTGTTTTAAAGAGCAATGCTGGAAATGAGGGAAGGGATGCTTCAACAAAAACAAGGGTCTGGAGACCACGGAGAATTTTCTTTTGGTGGTAAAGCATTCTCAGACTTGGTCCAAGAGTCCAAGGGAAACTTTACACACAGTTCCATTTTTGACTGGTAATTCCGTTGCATCCTTGCAAGTGTTTATCTCAAAGCCATTCAGTGAACCACCCCATGCCATCGGCTACTGATGGCAAACTTCACAGCAGACGCTTGACGAATCACAATCAAAATTGATGAATGAAAGAAATGGAGGTTTCTTAAATAGGGGTACCCCTCATCAATTTCATGGTCGGATTGTCCATGTAAACCATCCTGCTATTGGGGATACCCCCGGGAACCAAGGTTTCTGACTCTCAAGCGTGGTGATGGAGATGTGTTGCTGCGCAAGAACCTCTATGGGACCTACAGGCCGTCTGGATGTTGGGCTCCCGGTTGAAGAACCATGGGCCACTGGTGAAGTTGTCACTAACCCCAGGTTGCCAGGTAGCCAACTGTTTGTTGAAGGTCACCGAGACATTATATGACATGATGTTTTGTTTTCCTGGAATATAGGTATAATATATTTTACATATGTAATTTATATTTTTATACACGCAGGTATATATGTGTCATGTATATATCCCAAAATAGTGCAAGACTACTTATGCAGTCTACTTTGCTGTGTGGATGTGCAGTGTTTTGTGTTTTCGGCCCATGGACTTACATACAGTATATAATACATATATACATAATACATATATTAAGAAAATGTATGAACAATATTTATATATATATATGTATATATATATATATATTTGATATATGTATTGATTTATATTTACATACACATTCATATATGTAATGTATGTATGTAATTTCATGTAATGTAATGTAATGTAATGTAACGTAACGTAACGTAATGTATGTATGTATGTATGTATGTATGTATGTATGTATGTGTAGAAACACACATTTAGCCGCAGATACGTCATATCAGTGGTTGACAGCAAGCCCGGTCACAGGGGCCAAGACTATCCGTACGGCAAGCAGCCCCCAGCAATCACCTTCACCGAGAGTGACGACATGGTGGGGACGTCAGCTGGATGTTTGCTGTCTAAGGCTGGAAAAATTGGACCTAAGCCAATATGAAACATACAAAATGATTCAAAATGCCTTGTTTTTAACAATTTGGGGGCTTTGCTTGCAATTTCATCGCCCAGATCATCCCAAAAGACAAGCCTTATTGCCCCACATTGTTCTCCATATCTTGTTGGCACCAGACACAGGTGTTTTTTTCTATGAGCAATTTCCATGGGGAAATTTGACACAAACAGAATAAACCACAGGATTATCACAGACAAAACCAGATCATTTCGCCGCAAAATACTGAGTTTTCCCAATGTTTTTCAAGCATCTGAAGCCGGCTGAGACTGAGGTCTCCCTGGCTGAGCCAGGCTGTTTCTACCAGATGGAGTATCGGGTGGGTCATGGAGGTGGGCACAAGATCACAGTGGAAGATTGGGTGCCTTGGCAGCGTGGGGGAAGTCACCAACACCAGTCAAAACAATATTAGAATACACACATATATAATCACATACATATATATATGTACATATTTATGTATATATATATATTTAATCATATGTATAATCATATATAATTTGAATAATTAACTGGATTTAAATATACTAACTATTTTAAAAAATGCGGGAGCACACGTCTCTTGTTTGCTATTTGCTCTTCCTCCTCATACCTTGCACGATTGTGCATGCCACGTGCACGGCCCTGCCACTTTTTAGGTGCCCTCCTACTTGTATGTCCACTTGATGTTTTCTATGTTTTGATGCCCAACCAGGTTCAGTACATTGCAGGAATCTGAGCCACCATTCGTAGACCCCTACTGTCCTACTGTAGTTGTTTTTTTGCGGCCCAGACTTTCAAACAACGACATCAGAGAATTCAAATTCAAAATCCGGCCTCGCACATCCATCAATCAATCAGAACAGGGCTATACAGCGGTCATTCATGCTGGGTTGTTCTTCTGCGACTTTTTGTTCTGGAGATGTAACGTGCCTCTCTTTGATCATTGTTTGTGCACGGGTAAGCCGATCTTGTCCTGTGTATCCTAACTCCCCGCCGTGCAACCCGCAAGGAAACACTGAGTTGAAACTTAAAATCGTTTTTCTTGTGATTTGGGTACATGGGTGCGTGCTGAAGGACCGCAGCCCATAAATGTTGATTTGTGTCAGAAGTAGACTCCGTATCCCATTTTGACCCATACATAGGCACCAAGACCCAGAAACATTCCCGCCGTATGATTGCACCAACGAGATTGAATATAGAATGGGGCTGCCCATGGTGATCCATGATGTGAAGTTTTGCGTTGTATCGCTGTGAGGTCATCAAAATCCACTGATTTATCATTAATCACTTTCCCTATACGCAATTTGAGGGTACTACATATCATCCCAGTTTAGGACGCGCTCAGGTGGTCAAAATTTCCTTCGTGAGTTCTTCTTGCACTGAACCTAGCGATGTGGTTCACTTCAGAACTGGAGCCCAGACCACACGCTCGAGAAGGACCCTTCCTTGCTAGTGGTTTAAGAGCTTTATCCATCTTAGCTAGATGTATGTTAAAGCAAAGCTTGTATGCTGTTACATCCTTGCTAAAGTATTGTTAAATGCTTGTAAGCTTTTAGCCAATTTAACAACCTTAGCTAAGATTTAACCTAAGATTGATAAGTGGGCTAAAATCTTAGCCAACTTAGCTCATTTAGCCTTTGGTGGTTGCGTTGTGTTTTTTTGTGTTTTCTTTGTGATTGTCCTGGCAACATCATCTTGCAGCACAGCATTCCAGAAGAAAAAGTTTATTGCCACTGCTTTCTGTGTGCAGCAGAAACATGTTTTCCATGTTGCAAAGCCAAGCATTTATTCATGTGCAAAGGCATGTGCATGCATTCAGCACATAGTGCTTCCATTGAAACATTTTCCCACTTTGTTTCTTTATAGACTTAGCACACAGTGCTTCCAAAGCAGCCAATGCTTTCCAAATGATCACATGCATGTGTACTGCAGACAATGCTTTTCAAAAGTTAAGGTTCAGCTGCATGTTGCTCCAATGGCAGCAGCTATAGCACTTGGTGCTTCCAAATGCTCACATGTAGCTTCAGTTGGTCAAGCTGTATGTTGCTCCAAGTGGCATTGGTGCTTCCAAAGCAACCAATGCTTTCCAAATGTTCACATGTGTACAACATGCATGGCATGCCACAATGTGATGCCATTGCAAATTTCATTGTTGAAAATGTGTCACCTTTTGTTAGATAGCCAGACCAATTTGCCTTTGTGCTGCCATGGACCAAAATCTGCAGAAGTTCATCGCCAAGGTCAAGGATGACCCCAGCATGCCAATTGGCACCAAGTGGATGCAGATCCAGCAGAAGCTCCAAGAGAATGGCTTGATGTACCAGCAGACCTTGAAGCCCACCCAGCTCTTGGTCCATCCACTCAATAGAGGTGGTGCCATGCTGTCCCACTATGATTGCCACCACAAAGGGGCCAACATATTGACCATTGGACCAGATCTGAGCAAGATCCAAGCCAGTGTGGCCATAGAAGTGTCCAACCAGATGGCCAAGAAGAAAAGCCAAATTGCTACCAATGAAGCCATTGTGCATGCATCAGAAGGCACTTTGTGCCCACCAAGTGGCCAGGAAAGGTTTCTCAGCTTGGGTAGTAGCCATTTGAGCCAATTTTGCAAGGCTGTGCTCTATGGCTGCACCACCTTGAATAAGGGAATTGGCTGCCATCGCCCACAATGGCAACCTGAACCTGCAATCCTGTTGTGGAAGCCAAGGGAACCAGAACCCCTTCTACACCATGTGCACAGAAGGCTGGCAATGGGACATTATTGTGGCCCAAGTGGAAGATATCTTCCCAGATTTGCCACAGCTGATCCAAGCAGCTTTGAATTCCTCCCATGGGATTGCCAAGGCACAAACAGAGATTGAGATTATGGCATCCATGGCCAGCCACTATGCCCACACCAAAGACTTGAAGAAGGCTTTGCAGCTTGCAGAGAGCACCAAACCCAAGTGCATGCCTTATATTGCTGCCATTGCTCACTATGTCCAGAAATATAGTGGTGGCACCAACGTTGACACCATTCATGTGCTGGGCCATGTGAGCACCTTGGCTACAATAGCACATGGCTTGTTTGCAATGTTCAGCAAGGCATGCCAATTGCGATTTTTCACATGTCCAGTTTCCCAAATGTGTTTGCAGGCAAAGCCTTCACCAACACCATGACCATTGGGGAAGATTTCATGACCACCATTGCCTTCATTGGTTTCAAGGAGAAGTCCAGCAGTTTTCCATGGGTCAGAGCTGGCCTTTTAGCTGCCAACCTTCAAAGTCCAATTTGTAAGGATGGCATAGGCAAGCTGCTTCTCAAAACTGATGTTGAGAAGCTCAAGGCACCAGCCATGAGAGCCAATTTGGCAAGCTGTGAAGCCAACTTGGCCCATGGATACACAATTGTCCAGAAGCATGGCCTCCATGCCACCAGAGATGGAAGAAATCTCTTTGCCAGGTTTTTGGTCAGGTCCATACTCTATCTCACCAAGAAGCAGCACAAGTCCAGGGATGAGATTCAATTTGAAAATTTGGGTGAGATCAGCAGCACATTTTCCCAAGAGCTTCATGATCTTCTCAATGGCACCAACACTGCAGCTCCCAGCTCTTCTTGGGTGCCAGAGTCTTTCCAGGAGTGTGTCTTGTGTTTGAAATATTTTATCCAGCACACAGTGCTTCCATCCTTCTTGTCAATTTTATCTTTGAAACATGTTTGTTGGCAGGAGAGCAGTGATGCCAAGTTGATTGCCAAAAGGAAATGGGGCCTGGAAGAGAACACCTTTTACCACAGGAAAGGTGATTTGAAGCATTGGCAATTCAAGTCCATCACTGACACAGTTGCCACATTTGTGCACATGCCATTGTTTCCACCCAAAGATGGCCAACCATGGAAGATGGAGGTAGAATTGGATGAATTGAAAGATGTCAAGAAGGCTGCCACTGAGCCACCACAGTTGCTTCTGAGCCAAGCCATGCAAGACCTTTTGCCAGAAAGCTTGGGTAGTTTCCACCAAGAGAAGTTGAAGGCAGAAGCCACCATTGCCATGACCCAGCTGTACCATGAGTAGCTGGGTTGCAATATGGTTGCTAAGGAATGAAATTTGACCAGAATTCTAGACATTGTTTTGTGTTTTCAAATTTGTATATGTAGCCTTTAGTTGCTTTCAACTGAGGAACCTGTTGCCAGAAGGTTCAGTGGTAGTTGCAGAAAGGTCTTTTGGTGCCTTTGCCAACAAGACCTTTGCCAAGGGCAAGCTGAAGATTTTCCCCATGGGCCAACTAGCCCATGTGAAAGAAGTGAAAGCCAACATGACTTTGATTCATTGCCCAGATGATTTCAAGTTCCAGATCATTCCACCAAAGTGGACTTGGAAAAGAAAACAGGTATTTTGGTGCCATTTTTTCATTTGGTGAAAAGCCCAGGTGGCAACATGGAGGTCCACATGGCCAAGACAGAGAATGGCTTCCAAGTTCCAATTCTCAGGAACAATGCCAAAGTTGAGCAAGGAACATTTTTGACAATCCTTTGCTCAGAAGAAGAAATGGCCAGCAAGAATAAGGCCAAGAAGGCCAAAACCTCTTGAGATTCCATGTATGTACATTTCCAGAAATGTGCAATTTTGATTTGCATTGGCTTGGCATTGAAAAATGCTTGCAAATTGTTATTTTGTGTTTGCAACCCTTACAGCACACAGTGTCCACCAATGCTTTCCCATGCAGCATTTCAGCACAGAGTGCTTTTCCATGTTGGTATACCCATGATTGAATTTTTGCTTTGGTGCTGGTTCAAGATGCCACCATGGCAATCATTTCCCAAACGTGGTCCATTTCTTGGCATGGCTATGCCACCACCATGCCAGAAGATTTGCTGAAGGAGTACCAAGGTGTGTGGTACTGAAGTTGAGGCCATCTCACCACAAGATTGCCCAGTTGCTGACTGAAGGATACCCAAAGAAGAATGCCAGCCTCACCAATTCAGCATTGCTTCAGGGATTGAAAGCCAAAAGGGATGATGCTTTGACCATGTCTTTGATGCCTACACCAGATGGAGAAGGCATAGGCAATGAGAATGCCAAGAAGCACAAGGCAGCCAAGCAAACCATGGACATGGTTGTGCAAATTGATGTGGGTGGCACCATGGTGCATTGCCTTTGCCCCAAATCCAGGGGCACCCACAATGAGCTCATGGTTGAAATGGACCAGGACCAGCTCACTGCAGTCTTCCAACCCTTGCAGCCAGACATCCAAGAGATCACCTTGCAGTCACCCAAGAAAACCAGGAAGAGGAAGAGAGACACAGTGCCACCAGATGGCCATGAACCAGCACCAGAAGGCTAAATGCTGAGAAGCCACTATGTCAAGTTTTGATGGGAAAATAACGGCTAGCAGCTTCTGGAGCCACATTGTTTGCTTCATGTTCATGTCCATATGGTTTAGCACCATGTGCTTCATAGCATTTTCAGTTGTCAGTTTCCATGTCCATGTGGTTCAGCACGCAGTGCTTAAATTCATTCTCAGCACCAAGATGTTCAAACATGTGTTCCAAATCACATATGTCAACCATGCTGCAATTTTTTTGGCTTGCAGTGCCAAGCTGCATGTGCACAAAAACTGTGCCATGGAGGACAGCCATGGCATGTGCATTGCATTCTGGGTTACATATATGCCATGCATGTTGTTTTGCAGGAGCAGGAGGCACCACCAAAGGATGATGAGGCATGGTCAACAGAGCCAAATGAATGCCAACCATGTTTCAATCTCTCTTTCAGGTTCCAGCTAACCCTGCAGCACCAGCTCGACCAGCAAAGGCTGGTCCACCAGACCTAGTGGCTTGGAACTTAGTTTCCAAGCATCACAAACCATAAAGTGCAGTGTTGAAATTTGCTCCAGCACCCATTGTTTCTTTTTCACATTCACCAAATCAGCACACAGTGCTTTTTGTTCCATTTGTTTCATTCAGCACACAGTGCTTTTTGTTCCATTTGTTTCATTCAGCACACAGTGCTTTTTGTTCCATCTGTTTCATTCAGCACACAGTGCTTTTTTTCCATTTGTTTCATGCAGCACACAGTGTTTTTTCCAAACTGATTTTACTCAGCACACAATGCTTGTGACCATCTTGTGTGGCAGGTCCCACTGAGACATGGGTCCAAGTCCAAAGCTGATTTCCCAAGAAGACATCCCAGAGGTGACCCAGATGAAGAGGTGGGGTCTCATGTTTGCAACTATGCAATGTATCTATACATAAAAATTAATATATATCAATATATACATATTGCCAACATACTGTCATGATAATAGGGTTTTATTGAAACCAATATCATTCCCAATATGTTTGTTCCAATGGTAGGAAATGGACAATGCCATGACCATGTTGTCCAGCAAGGCAGAGGTGCCCTGCATTCATGTTGCATGGCCACCATTGTTGCTCATGCATGGCATTCAAAAATTGCTGCACACCATGCAGGACATGGGTAGCCCCACAGAGCCAAGCAGCCCTGCAGACCAACCACCTATCCCACCCAATCCAAGTACACCAAAAGCAGAAAACATACCATCTGCAGTGCCTTTGCCAGGAGGCACAGCAGAGGCACCCAACTCACCTCCAGAGACACCAGGACCAGCACCAGCTTCTTCAATCCCAATCCCCATGTTTGCAAGACCACCAAGCCCAGCAGCATCAGCCAGCAGTGCAGACATGCCAAGGTTGATGAAAAAAGCAAAGGCCAGCTCACCACAACAGGAGCTGACACCCACCACAGTGGAAGTACAACAACCCAAGCAAATGGAAGTACAACCACCCACCAAGCCAGCCACAGAACCAGTGCCAACCAAATCAACAGCCAAGCCAGCCAAGCCAACACCAGTGGCAGACACATCAACAGCCAAGCCAGCACCAGCGCCAGCTACATCAAGATCCACAATCTTGCTTCAAACACCAAAGATAAGTAAAGCAACACCCACAGGCAAGCCAGCCACACCATTGCCAGCCAAAGCAGCATCCTCACCACCAGCCAAGGCAACAACACAATTGGCAAGACCACCACCCAAACAAATGCCAACCAAAGCAAATACACCAAAACACACAGGCAAGCCAGCCACACCAGTGGTAGCCAAAGCAACATCCACACCACCAGCCAAGGCAACAACACCAGTGGCAACACCAGCACCACCACCACCACCACCAGCAGCAGTCACAGCAGCCAGGGCATACCCTGCATCAGCATTTATGCCACCAAGAGGTAAGCCAGCCCCAAAGGGATCCATGAGGCCTAAGTCGCCTCCAAAGGCTCCAGCTGCCCAGGCTTGCATAGCACCTATAGTGCGTTGTTTAAATTCAAATCCAAATCTTGTACCATTGGTTGATTCATTACATAATGATTTTACCAGATGCAATGCATGTTTATGCATGTAGAGGCCAGCATGGGTTCCTCCAGCTCAAGTGCCCTACCACCAGCTCCACCCATGGTGGCACCTGCAGTCAGACCCTTATAATCCCAGTGGTTGAAGCATTTTTTTGAGAATGCATGTTTGCCACTGAGGGCACTAGCCTTACTGGAGCTGCTCCAGTGCTTGAGGCTGGTGGTATGCAAAGCTGCCTACATTGCCATTTGTTGACATTTTTTCCGCTGCCACATTCTGTTGCAGGCCCCAGCTGCCAGTGACCATGCCAAAGCGGCAAGTGGCCAGGCCAAAGCTGCCAAAGCCAGAACACCCAGAATGCAGCAGGGAAACATGAACAGATGGGTCCATCTGGCTGTCCTCCATGAGATGGGGATGCACCAGGAAGCATCCCAACACATCCAGCAGGTCAGAAGCAGGTCCAATGATATAGACCAGCTGTTCCAGCAGCACTGGTGGAATATCTACCAGTATGGCAGGGACACCAGGTTTGGTGATCTATAGGCCACCATGGCCACAGCTGCAGGTCTAAAAAGATGCATTGCCTGATATCCAGCACACAGTGCTTCCATGATGCCATGTAGCACCAAGTGTTTTCATTTTTGTTTTGCATGTTCAACCATGTCCATGTAGCACCACGTGCTTTCATGCCATGTCCATGTCCCAGCAGTGCAGTTGTGTTCCATGTATCAGCACTCAGTGCTTCATGATCATGTTTGTTGATGTTCTTTTCTTGTAGTGACCCAAGCTCAAGTAGCTCCAGCGACTGACCACTGACTGTGCCAGCTGACCAGAGCCATGCCACCCATGAAGTCCATGAAGGCTAGATCACCCATGTTTTTTTATCGAAGGAAGTTTAGAAGTCAAACTTCCGACAATATGGAGAGATGAAAAGCAGGGCAGAGGCATAGAGAAGAGAAAGATCAGAAGAGAAAGAGTAAGAGGACAGAAGATACAGATGCGCGAAAAGGTAGGAAAGTCGCGAAACACTGTGTTTTTCCAATGATTTGTGGCTCCGGAGGCTCGAAAAGTAGGCTCGCTAAAGCGGCGGGTGCGGAGCCAGCTGGCCACAGGAGCGATGAAAAATTGCACG